CTTATTATCTCCCCCTCCTGTGTTTTCTCTCCCTACATCCATCCACATCTCTTCAGGTGTTGAGACAGCATGGTCTGTCGCCGGCTAATTATCCGTGTTGCAATCGGGAGGAGGCGAGTGGGATATCCCCCGGGCAGGAAGTGACAGCTGTCTTGCTCTTGCATAGGAAGCGTGCGACAAGTGCCGCCGGTGCTGACAGATATGATGTCACAGCCACCCGGAGTCTCTACTTTACAGATTACAGAACAGGAAAGATGAGGGTCCAAGACTGTACTTTTTCTTCTTTATACTACACACAGTTTGTTTCACTTGACTTTAGAACAATGCAACAAGGTCGTGTTCATGGAAGTGACTAATTGATATACTTTCAGTCGGTGCAGCAGTTAACAAAAAGCACAGAAAGTGGTTATTGAGCGTTTCCACATAAGGTCGTTTGCAAAGATTAAATAGAGATTCGCTTCCAGTGTTGAATCAAAAACCCGCAGAGAAGCAAGATGTCAAAGAAGACGAGAGCAGATGTGTTTTCACAGCCTACGCCAATAAATCAACAACAGAGTCTGCAGACGTGCGAGCAGCTCTTTGAGGCGTTACTACTAAAGGCTGGCGCGTTCAGGCGATGACAGCGCGTTCAGGCGATGACAGCGCGTTCAGGCGATGACAATGTCGGCGTGCAAATCTCTTTACACTGACAGTGCCGGAGAGTGCAATTCAGCGTACAGCCAATGTACCGCGTACATTGCAGTGGCCATGGGTTCAAATCCGACCTCGGCCCATTTGCTGCATGTCAGCCCCCCTTGCTCTCTCTCCTCCTAACATTTCCTGTCTCTCTTCCACATATCATAATGTATCGGGTCACATTGTGTTGTATTTGAATTTATTTATTTAATAGGGACAATTAATGCAATTTAACATAACTTCAATACAAAGCATGAAACTGATGTGCTGCATAAAGAGTATAGAGCTGTTGCTAATTTCCAACTCGTGTCCCCAGTCGGGCCTTTGTGCAAACAAACAGATTTAAATGTAAAACATTCAGTTACATAAAACCCCAGAACACGATATGAGGATACATTAAAATACATGTACAACAATACAAATGCTATAAACTAGTTTAAAATAAAGTTTAAAGATATTATTTAAAAGTGGGTACAGCTCTGGCTTGCTTTGTAGCGTATCATATACTTTTGTATTGGATCCTATTGATCGTGTCCGATCCTGAGTCGTGCCATATCGATACGATTTGATACAAAACAACAGGATATGCTGCATCATGTTGTTGTTTTGCTGTTGCCATCATCTGCCCAGGGACAACAGGTGGAAATGAGCTAGCTAGCTAAATCTGGTACAAAGCATCTCTTTATCTTCTGAGACTAATGTTTTTTTTTTTGTACACTGTCCCAGATTCAAATAAACGATTAAACTAAATTAATTGTGTGAGGTCAAATCGTATTGATCGTGCTATCTCATTGTTTAGCATCATGAGTGTAAACTAGCATTCTTTCAAACTCCTGCACATTAGAATCGCATCGTTTAAAAAATATAAAAAAAATGACCATGGACCTGCTCTGTACTTGATAAATAATCAAATGAATATTACATTTAGACAAAAGGCAGAGCTGCTGCACGGTGAAAACAGTCCTTGCACAACCATCTGCTCCGTCTGTTGAGCTCAGTGTTTGAATAAAACGTTCTGCCCTGCAACACACTTGAAAATCTTGAAGTGAAGGAAAGTTATACATTTTTCTTTTAATTACCAGCAATAACTGGAAACTTGTGACGTTGAATAATTATGATTAATTATTATTATCACAACTGCAGTGTTTGATCTGCGCTTTCCTTGATGATACTTCAATGTGTGGAAAAAGAGACATTTCTTGTAGAGAGATAAAAGCAGAAGAAGAAGAAGAAGAAGAAGAAGAAGAAGAAGAAGAAGCTCCAGATCCTGCAGCAGAGAAAAGGCTCAGAGAGGGATGTGTGAGCATAAATGATCTGTCTACCCAGGACAGCAAAAAGGAAGATGGCAGCCAAAGCGGCGACTGAACCAAGCCGCCAGAGAGCGTGAATGTTGCCCATTAGAGGCAATTATGTTGCTGCAAACCAACAGCTTGACACGGCACTGTAACTAAGCTCCTGGTGTGGCTAATCTGTCTGTCTGGGGAAAAAAAAAAAAAAGTCAAACATATCCACAATCCTGTCCCCCCCCCCCCCCCCCCCCAGTCCCCCCCCCCCCATAAGCGCCACAGCAGGCCATTCAGTGATATTAAGCTCCTTTTCAAAAGCCTGGGTGGGAACGTGAAGAGTGGGAAATGTAAATAGATACAAGCCTGGAGGGAATCTGTGGGAGCACAACCCACATAACGATCTGTCAATTTAACAGCGTGTGGGAGTGTAAGAGTAAAAGGATGGAGAGAAATGTTCCTTCTTTTTCTGTCATTAATGGTCACAGAGAGAGAGAGGAGGGGGGGGAGGGGGGATGCATGTTCAGCATCTGCCATTAAGAAGTCATAATGAAAAATAAAAAAAAGGAGCGGGAATCGAACACTCTGGTGTGTTTGGTGGATGCTTCAAGCAAAGAGGGAATATGGCCGCAGCTCGATGAAAGGCTCGGCTTGAATTTCAGCTCTCCATTAGATTTTCTCTGAGGCTGAATTTTTCATTTCCTGATGAATAGAGACCGATATCAGCGCAAGAGGAAACCACTGCATACGTGCATAAATGTACATAAACCAATAAAATCTCAGCCGTCTCTCTCTCTCTCTCTCTCTCACACACACACACACACACACACACACACACACACAGACTATATTAAGGCGCTCTAACCTTGGCCCTTGTTTCTTTGTGAGTCTATGAGTCAGAACTCTGTCTGCAATTTTCTAAACATTTCCAGTTATGCTCCCAATGAGCCAACACACCGTGACACCAATTAGTGGGCTAAATAATAACACGGCCAGAAGAAGAATCCCCCCCCCCCCCACTACATCTCTCCCACCTCACTGATCTCCCCAGACTCTGCACAGCCTGAGCTTCCAGATCAAAGGGGGCTGCTCTAACTCATCAATGCCCTCACCTCTTCTTCTGTACAGATCCAGTGCTCAATAACAAGCGCACATTATCATCAGCTCGTCTGCTTCACACCAGGCAGTGGGTCTGCCTGATAAAAAAAAAAATCGACAACACATCTCGTCTTGTGCACCATCATTTTCCTCGACCCCAGCCTGCGTGAAGCCAGGAGCAGAACCACCGCATGACTGGACCGGTTCTTCTTTCTGAAGTCCTCCGCTTTGCAACCTCACCGGCGTGGAAATCAATAAGTCTTACATTTATGGATGAAACCATCTGCTCCGAGTGACTGGAAGGCACGGTGTGTGTGCGTGTGTGTGTGTGTGTGTGTGTGTACACATGTGGCCACTGGCGTTGGCAACTTATGTTTGTGATGACAAGCGACAAGCCCCTGTTATCACTCCGGAGTCGGTGAGCTGCAGCGGAGAAGGAGACGAACAAACGGTGGGGGGATTCTGTCAAGCCTTCAGGCTCAAACAGAACTCTGCAGGAAGGAGGGATGGGCTTATCAGTGTGAGGCCGAAAGGTGAGCAAGAAAAACAGCGTGAGGGAGGATGATCACTCGCAGAGCGGTCAAAATGGACAACAATGCATTCCTCTCATCCCACGAAAAAACACCAAAAAGGACAGTTGTTACAACATGGACACAAGATTTAAAAAGAGGAAATTTAAGCCTGAACTTCTTTTAATATCTGCCAATGCAGCGAGCAAATTTAACATGTTGAGAAGGAGTGCATCTGTAACATGAAAATATCCATCCATCCATCCATATCTAAAATATGGACACTTCTTTCTATCTTTTATATCTTGAATTTATGGTTGCTCACGCTTCAGAAAGTGCCAGGAGACAGGCCATGATCCTACACAGTTGGCGTTACATTAACACCCACTGGACTTGAAAAATTCATCTTCCTTACATGCACTCTGTGAGTAGTTACACACACTAAGATTTTTTCTCATAGTCCACTGCACAGCTCCTACATTACACCTTTCGTACATTTTGTGTTTTTTGTATTTTACATTTTTTAATTCTATTTTATATTTTGTAATATCTTCTTCTTCTGTATTATTTAAGTTGTTGCTAGTTCTGCTTTATTTCCTTGTTAATTGTTTAGCACCAACACACCAAGTCAAATTCCTTGTATGTGTGAATGTACTTGGCAATAAACCCAGATTCTGATTCTGATTCTGATGATTAGCGTTAGCTTAGCTTGTTTCCATGTGCTCAGCTTGATTTTAGATATGGTTGTGTCTCCTGGTTTGGAATAAAAGCAATCCTTTGTAAGGTTGACAAAATGTTCCATACTCAGATACTTTCCGATACCACAGGTTTTAAAAGGAAACGATGTCGGTTTTGCGTTCGATTTGGTTTTTGAAAAGTACCAAAACAAAAGGAGAGCACTGACTTTAAACACATCGGAAACGTTTCATTTTATGTGCAATTATGACAGAAGTGTGCAGAAGTTTACCGGCAGTTTTCAGTGATTTAAAACAAGAAATTACTAAATATCAGCAGCCTTGAATTTCTTTTTGTTGCCATGGTATCTTAACTGTATCATCATTAACAGCTAAGTTTGAAATCCTGGTATGTGGACGAACCCCAATAATCTCTTAGAGATCCAAAACATCCACCTATGATCCATTTTTCAGATGATCTCCTTTCTACCTAAATGAACAATTTAATTGATTAATTTAACAACCATATCAATGCTTCTACTTGGTGTGTGTGTGTGTGTGTGTGTGTGTGTGTGTGTGTGTGTGTGTGTGTGTCTTTAATAAATCAACAGATGATCCTGCACAGTTGCTCAAAGTCTCTCATAATAAATATCTCAGAGCCTGTCAAGTATTGTTCTCTGCCCGCAGTTCTTCTGCCTGCAGCTCAAAAAAACAACAAGTTCAGAGAGAGAGAGAGAGAGAGAAGTCAAATCTGAACGTACCCGTGCAGCTCCTTGAGAGAAACTGAGACCTTCAGGTCGTGTCCGAGCACGTGGAGGGCGGTGAGGATGTCGGCCCATTGCACCATCTCACCCAGAGGACCCCCCTTTAGCACCTTGGGACTGAACACATCCCCAGACTCCTCCGTCAGGAAGCCCACGTGGACCAGAATCTGAAGAGAGAAAAGACACATTGATGGAGAAGTTTAGTGCACAGCAGCATGTGCTTAGTTCATGCAATGAAAGCTTATTGTGGAGAATGAGTCATTATTTACAGCAATTTGAGGAGTTTATTTCCAGACAAATCCAGTCCTGCATGAAGAATAATTGAGGTTTTTTCAAAGGAGCAATGCTACGCTGGATTCATAAATGAATATGTGCAGATATGTGGCATGGATCAGTGATAACAAACTTTAAATTAGTATCTCATGAAAACCAGGAGAGCAGAGTGACGGTGTATCACACCAACGCATCTCCCCCAGAAACACAATCGACTGAGCCTGGAGTTGAAATACAAATTGATTTGCTGACGGCTGATTGATATGCGGAGCGATAACCGAGCGCTTTAATTGCTGATGAGTAAGGATGGAATTTCCCGGGCTGTTAAATATGTAATGGAATTAGATTTTTCAACAGATGGCAGCATTTTAATCTATTCCTAAATGACTTTGTGTGAAAAAAATAAATATATTATTTCGTTCATCTACTGGACCGCTCTTCCATTTGTGAGGGGGGAGTCAGAGCTCGAGATCACGATAATGATCTACAGGATCCTGTTCAACGACATCTGGGACAGGAACTCCAGACGTCTTTGGATTTTGTTTTTCTGTCTGTGAAAATGTAAATTAATTTCACGTTTCCTTTCATACCATTAAAAGTCAAATAGCTAGAACTTTTACACTACAACATCTAAATAAAATTAAAAACTGACTAAACAGATGTTATATATTTTTGTTGTTTGTGAGTATTTAAATTCCCTCTAATATTTGAAACAGTTATCAAAGCCAGAGAAATCTGTAATTTTAAAGTTTTAATCAAGCGGCAACCTCCGGTGTTGAAAAATGAAGCCAATGCAGAAGTGCAAAATCCTGCAGTTCATCGAGTGTCCACTAGAGGCTGGCTGCAGAAGCATAAGAAGTCACATACACACTCATTCAGAAAATTCTGTTTTCACAGCAAAAATAAACATGTTTACAGCCTGGTTCAAAAAACAAATAGGTCTGATTGGTTCTTGTCATCACTGGATCACACTGTATGGGAGGTGAGTTTTTTTTAAACTGCTCCGTTTTGATGTTATGAACACTAAGTGTTATCCATAGATAGGCGTGTAGCTGACATGATTGACAGGTGGGCGCGATGTAACGGTTCATCAAGAGGTTTGAAACCCGCCTCAGACAGGATTTCCAACATGGCGGCTCCTGCCGATCCAGAGCCCCCTGCAGGAAGAGATGGGTGCAGTAACTCAGGCTTTGTCAATTCAAATTTAAAGTCCATGATTTTAATGCCCCGTATCTTTTGTGGCGGCCTCCATGACAGAGTGTCTAAATTGCACAAAAACATTGGCAACAGTTGGCTTCAGAAACGTTTCCAATGTATTTGAACAATTTAGACTTTGCAGAAGTTTGTCTAATGGACTCATTCGCCTCCTAAAAACCTGTCTCATGAAAAAGATGTGAATGTTTTGGGTTCTGTGAGATCATTAAAATAGAGTTATCGTTTTTCAAATAAACAAATTAGAAAAAAAAGAACATGAATTCCTGGCTGTCCTTCCCCTCTCTAAGAAGAACACAGAGGATCTCCAGAGCGGATAAAAGACGCTGCAGCGAGGAGAAAGAAAACTGGACTGAGATGGAAGTGATTGCATCATGTTTACCTTCTTTATCATGCGAGTTACAAGTGAGTCACGGTGCTAACGTTGTTTTGCTTCAGGGCAGAGAACGAGCAGATGGAAAAATGTCCATCTGTGACTCAAACATCACATTAAGAGGTAGTGACGTGCTCAAAGTGGAGCACACACTAACATCAGCAGAAAGACAAGAAAAGAGTAAATTAGAAGGAGACTCCACGTTAACATCTCTGTTCTGGAGAAGTTTCTGTTTCCTCTCCTTCGTTCAGCGTGTCAGTGATTGAAGGGAGGCCTGCAGGGAGCGCTTAATGGACAGGCGCCATTACTGTCAAACACACCATTACAATAAACAAAGCCCTCTCTCTCCCCGCTGGGAAAGAAAAAAAAAAAAAAAGGCATTTGAGAAGAGTGTAATGTTATTTACAGAACAGCCTCTAAGCTTTGATTTATTCAGCAGAAAGAAACGGATCCACACACACACACACACACACACACACACACACACACACACACACACACACACACACACACACACACACACACACACACACACACACACACACACACACACACACACACACACACACACACACACACACACACACACACACACACACACACACACACACACACACACACACACACACACACACACACACACACACACACACACACACACACACACACACACACACACGGCAGAACGCCAGTACGCCGTCAGCTCTTTCACTTAAAGAAAAACTCGACAAAGTCATTTCATTTGTCGGGTTTGATTTGAGACTTCAGAGTTTCAGCTCTGTCGCTTTCATCGTCAGGCGGAGACTTAATTTAGTCCCAGCTGTCGGGGGATTGAGTCAATTTGTTGTTTCAATTTAAGAGGTAGGGTTTCCATAATGTAAATAACGGACAGGGAAAGGTCTAAGGTCTGGGTCATAACTAGGGCTGGGCGATAAATCGATGTTATCGATAAATCCCCTCGGGCTCCCAGGTATGTTCGTATTTTGCAGAAGTTGCTCGGCCTCATCTGTACTTCATCTGTACCCTGAAACTGCAAAGTGCACTTTGAAAGCCAAGTTTACAACGAGCACTTTAACCCTCCAGTTACCAATGGGTGTCATCCCTGAGGCTTCATCCTTCTTTATCTACAGTCTTTGTGTACAACCTGGTGCATCTGTGAGAAAATGAGTCACAGGCAGTGATTCAACTTTTATTAGAATTTTTAGAAAGTGAATGTGAAAAGCACATTCAGGTCTGAAACGAGCTCACTTTATTGATTGGTTGAGTTACTCACTGTGTCCCCATCTACTCTATTTTTAATCTTGACACCTGAACAAAACAGGAAGAAGACTGCTGGCAGCCAACAGAAGAAAACCAAACAAATCTGTGTCCCATCATCCAAATAGCATCAGAAAGGCAAAAAATAACTCTGCAATCAAAAGACAGAGGCGCTGCTTGTCAACAGGCAAGACAGGCAACTGCTCGGGGCGCCAGACCAGCAAGGGGGCCCCCCCAAGGGCGGACAAACTTTAAACCAGAGCAGCAGCCCAAAATGTGCAAATTTTGCAATGACAGTCAGAAATCCCCCCTCAGGGGGACCCACTCAGTCTCGTTGTCCTGCTAAGCGTTGCAGCATTAATGCTGTGAAAACCAAAAGTTTGCCAATGAAAGTCAACTATAGGAGAGAAAAAAGAGGAAGAGGAGTAATCGTCTGGACTCTGGCAGACGTCGGTTGGAGGGCCCCCCAATAGAGAACAAACCATATGACTTATTTTTGTAGGCCAACCCTGAAGTAGCGCCGCCATGGGGTCTAACCAGAATCCTCCTCTGGGATGTTTTCATTGGATTTTGGATCATTGCAGAAAATAATCTCTGTGGTAAACACACGTTTCTGAAGCGTAGGCGTTTTGTTCAGCAGGATAATCTTCACAGATGAACGCCATTTTTATGATGTTTGAAGCGTTAATGCGGCCGACAGAAGTAAAAAGCTAACGTTATGCTACAAGCTAACTACACCACGGTGGGATGATTGTGACGTCACTAGCGTTATGCTTCAGACGATCTCCGATAAACTAATCCACGTAGCTTAATAAATAGTTTACTAACATAATATTCACCTGAACCTAAAGATTAAACCTACAGGAGACATCTCAGACTAGTGAGAGAGTTCCCGCCCTCTGTGTCCGGCGTGATGACCTTTAATGTCCCCGACAACCACTGTAGTCACATTTAGCCGCTTGTTAGCAACCGCCTTGTTAAAGACGAGTAAAAACTTCAAACTTCACAAGTGGAGGTATTACCTAACGTAGTTTATGTGCTCTAACAAAACACCAACATCTCTTCAGCTTGTGTTAACCACAGACCTTATTTCAGGAGTCTAAACACAAACACATTCAAAATCCCCGTTGACTTTTAGACGTTAGACCCCCATGGCGCTCAAATGCTAACTTACTGGTTTTAGGACTCATTCCTGTGGCTCTCCATTATTTTTGCCTAGGGCCCAGACAGACTCTAGAATGGCCACTGTCAAAGGATGAACGTGCAGCCTGAGCCAGCTGTTCTGAGTGTGATCTGTTCTGCACTAGAGTTAGTTATTGCAGCATGTAAAGGTTTAACTCACCCACCTGGAGGAACCTGATATTCCTGCCATTTAAGCACGTGTCAGTTCCAGTATACGCATCGTGCTCTTTGATACTTAGTGGAAATGTCCCTTTAAAATGTCAGCAGTGAAAGTGACACCAAAGCCAATCAATGCCTGCTTCAGCGACTCTCCATCATCATCTCTTCTTCAGTTTGTAACTCAACAACGATTCACGATGAGCAGCCGAAGATTAAAGAAGAAAAATGAAACAAAATGTCACAGCTGTTCTGCTAACTTGGCAGCGTAGCATGGAGGCATTTAAGGACTGTCTGGATTTTTACTCAGAGACTGTTTGATCCCGAGCATCCAACACTAAGTGGTTTTTCGACTGCCTGAACAGATGGATTTACATCAAATTAAGAGCTGAGTTGCAGAAAAAACAAAAAGAAAGAGAACCAGTTGAACTACAAGCCCTCCCTTTCTGCTGGCTCATCAAGATGCAACAACCTCGACACTTTGAAAAGATGAAACCACACAACACAGACTTTGTCTACCTTCAGCAGATTTATGCCGTCTCACCCTTTTCTGCTCTCTCCAGCGGTGTCGGAGCTTGTCATCCAGCCGGCGAGCGGCAGAGGCCCACTGAGCAGCCAGCCTGCGTATGCGTCTCTTCATGAAGCTCAGGGATTCTTTCCCAGTGCCGACCTGCTCCAGCAGAGTCCCAACGTCCGACTGGAAAACAGCCTGAAAAAAATAGCAAAAAAATACACTCAACAACAGGCTGGTGTTCAGATGTATGACATCTCCTGAGCCTAAAAAACGACAACAAGAACGTTATTGTTTGTTGTTTTGCAGAACTATCTACACACAAACTCACAGATTGAAAAAGTCCATTTTGAATCAGACGGTCTTGGTTCGTCTTCGTCATTCATAAAGAAGCATCAGCGTTAATTTCTGACGGTTTCATAACCAGCTGAACAATTCCTCAGCGGAGCTTTAAAGTCACCCAGTTCATTGTAATCAGTGTAATGAGCTGTTAGCGACTGTGGCTCAATCATAAAGAACAAAAAGATTAACAAAGCAGAAGAGCTAGATGACATGAATATCAACTAACCTGAAGAGGAGACACACGTAGTAAACATTAAAAACAATTTCGGTACATAAAAAAAAAAAAAGGGAAAGTTTAACAGGTGTCGTGTGTGATTCATGCAGTCTCGTTCACCTTCATCTTGCTTCACTAACAGTAAAAGTTCAGTTTTAATGGCTCATTTCAAGAAGACTACAAAGTTAAACCGTCGCCTTGGAAACAGCTCCAACCTTATCAAGCAATCAACCAATTTGTATTTGTATAGCGCCAAATCATAACAAATATTGTCACAAGACACTTTACAAAAAGAGTAGTACTAGTCAGTGCTCTTTATTTAATTATTTACAAAGACCAAACATTTATCCACCATGAAGAAAGCCCTAGGTAACATCTAGCAAAGTTACAGTGACAAGAGACGAGAGAGAAGTGCCTTGAAGAGGCAGAAACCTTGACTGTGACTTGATTGGGCTGAAAGATGCAGAAAGAAAAGAGAAGCAACATCAACAACTGATTTAGATGAATGGCTACAATGCACAATTACAATTGTTCCAGTAATTCATAGTTTTGATTTTCAAGGATTTTTCAGACTTGTATTTCTGCTTTTTCTCTTATTCGATTTGCTTTGTTGGACTACAGTCAAAGTTTCTTACAGGTGATAGAAACCCCTTCAAGGTGTACCTTCCAGTAAGGATGCTACATCAGTCTATTTGGGATCCATGCTGTCTTAACCAACCAGCTCTCTGTACATTATCCCTTTGCATCGAGAGCCTCTTTACATCCTGTTATCTGTTGTGAGACTTCCAGACAGGTTGACTGAGTGACTCCTTGTTTCTCTTAATAAATAGTCTGTCTGCATTTTACATTTCCTCCTCTGCTCGCTGTAATCACCGCTTCACAGCACAACAAACCAGCATGGGGGTGTTAATCAATGGAGTCACTGCACCGAGGGACGCACTGAGGACTTAAAAAAACACACATAAGAAACTGATGAACATAAAACAGTTTGTCCCCTCTCAAACACACCCACACTCTAAAAAGAAAGTAAGATTCTCTGTGATCCTCTCAAAGGCAAAATCAATATGCAGAGCTGTACTGTACGCTGCACAATGCAGGTGAGTTATTGCTCTCAAGAGCGACTCCTGTATGGCACAGCAAAAAAGCAGAGCACCCAGGGGAAGCCTCGGGATTAGACTCAGAGACGTGGTGAATACAGGCGTGCAATTAGAGCAGACGGTAGAGCTGCAGAATGAATTCACATCAGGGCCCGCCACGCAGGCTGAGTGTTACTCTGGGGGGGAAGAGGAGGAGGGAGGGAGAGAAACAGGGAGATAGGGATGGAGGAGGGATTGTTAGCGTCATGTGTTGGAGCTGAAATTAGAAATCAAATGATGCAGCAAGGACTGACAGTGAAAGACAGAGAGGCTGTATTCAGAGACTCAGGAGCTACTGATCAAAGAACTGAAGTAATAAGTGTTCTGCTTTAATGGTAAACAGACTTTTTTTTAGTCTTCTGACTACTCAAAGCGCTTTTACACCACAGGTCACACCTACACATTGACATTCACACACTGATGGTAGAGACTGCTATGTTAAGTTAATTCATACACCACCGCCCGCCAAAGCAGCAGGAGCAACTTGGGCTTAAGTGTCTTCTTGCCCAACGACACATCGGACATGTGGCTGCTGGGTATCCATTCCCTGACCTTCCAGTTAATTGACAACCCACTCTTCCAATCAAGCCACAGTCACTAAGTTGTATAAGCATTCTGGGTTAGAATTGAATAGAAAGCACTTAATAGTCTAATTTTTTAAACACAGGCAAACATTTGACTTCCATGCATCTTCATCACTGCCTACAACCACTAACTCCCACACTCCCCCCCCCCTCCCCCTCCCCCCACCCACATTACTTATTTTTTGTACTCGCTTGTCGTTTTTTGTTTTGATTTATTGTTTTATGTTTTTGTCAAAGCGTCTTTGAGTTTTCAGAAAAGCGCTATATAAAACCAATGTATTATTATTATTATTATGTGCAAATATATGATTTAAAACCCAAGGTAATGCACTCAGACAAGCTGGTAACACAACATATTCAAACAGAATACAAACAGACACAATAGAGCTACAATAGAACAAGTAATAAGGGTCTTAAAGTATCAAAAAAGCTTTTAAATATAAGCTTTTCATCAAGCCGAATACCAAGATCTTTCTGTTCTGGCTCTTTCAGTAATGAAAGGGGACGGCTGTTGAAATCAATATCCCATTTGAAAAAAAAGCAGAGATTTGTTTTTTTTGTGCTGGCATTAAGTACTTGATAAAAGCTCAGGTTGGGGCGTGGGATAGCCTAGCGATTATGCTGCGTGCCACACATACAGAGGCTATAGTCCCCAAAGTAGACGGCCCAGGTTCAACTCAAACCCTTAGCACTTAACCCCCAAAACTTCAATATGAGCTTTACATGACACATTTAAAATGTCCCAGGATGAATCTTTGGCATATACAATTTTAAAAAAGGCTGTACACTAGCTTCAGCCTGTTTAATAACCAGCTAAAAAATCCTCACAGGAGCTTTAAGTGCATTTTAAATAGCCTTCAAAAAGAAGTTGTAGGTCCTTACAGAGAGGCAGCAAAGCAGTACAGAATAGTATCATCTGCATAAAGAGAGATACTACAGTCAGATCTCAGAAAACACAGTATTACTATAAATTGCAAAAGAAGACAGGACCTAGAAATTATCCCTGTGGGACGCCTTTTGTTATTGTCATAAGTGGATGATGAATAAAAAAAGCTGAGATGGATATATCGTGTTACCTGTTTCTTTGGGAGAGGCTTCAAGGTGGGAGTAGCAGTCTGGTTCCTCCAGGCCAGCGGGGGACAGAACCACTCCACCTCACTCAGGTAGACCAGAAAGGAGCAATCAGAGCCGTCCACACCATAGAAGGCGTAGCAAGGGTCCGAGGTCCAACGAGCCCGCATCCACTGGAGGGCAAAGATTTAAAAAAAAGTCAGGTATACTCTCAGGGCATCATTTTGTTATTAGCAATCTTTAACTAAAGATGTGAAAAGGTGGCACTAAAGGCCCGATTTTAAATTCATCCTCCGGTTCATTTTGTTTTGAAAACTGGCAGAAGGTTAAACAGTAGAGAACAGCCTGCAGGCACTTTGCTGTCAATCCTATTCACTGTCATATTTTAACTCCAACTTTAATTTGAAGCCTCTAGCATGCAGAGAAAACAATGACTTTATTTACCAGTCAACCTTTTGAGGCTTTTGAGACACCAGCTATTTACGCCCCTACCCGTTCATTTCAAAACAACAACCCTGTCGCCTAGCAACCGCAACAGCTGCTGCATTGGAAAGAGCTAACATAACTAAAAACATGCAACTGAAGCTAAGGAAGTAAGATGATTTCTAGTATGTTTAAATAACCCATCTTACAGATCCGATCCTTTGAAATATCTTGAAAAAAAGAGATGGACGGATTAAAAACAATTTTCCCGCTTTCAACCTCAGATAACCAAATCCTTTGTTTCATATTGTGCTACTTTCCGAGAATGCACATAACAATAAATGTGTAAATTCCACTTCCATCAATACTTATCTTAATCAGCCCGTTAGAGTGTCGGGAAAAAGGCTGTGCCTGTGAAGCCCACGGGAACTAAAACTGTCCCTGATAAGTACATATGGCGGGCGTTTGGCACATTCATAGCGTGTGAATGACGGGCGTATTTATAGATGCCTCCTTCATCCATAAACATCACTGTGATACTAGAAATAAACATAAGCCATCTGGGTATACATGTTCAGTGTGCAGACCGCCTACCTGCAGCTGTATGTTGAGCTCAAGATCTTTTCTTATTTGTTTCTTCACAGGTTTTCACATGTTGTTAGAAAAAGCAAGGTCACAACTTGCTTCATTGTTTTTCTTCTTCTGTGCATATTTTAAGTGTGGATAAATCTCTTTTTCTCTGAAGTCACCCAGAACAATGTGTGTTTCAGACTCCCCCACTCCTGAAGAAGGAGCGCTTATCTTACAACACCTGATTTGTGTTGCACCAAGGTTAGCGTCTGAGAAAGGACAGCCGAGGTGTTTTTTTTCTCTCCCTGTGAAATGATTTGGACTTAAGTGAGATATGAGGACTTACATCCATCTTGCTGGCACAGTCTGGATAACGGGGGTCTTTAGGAGTATCACATTGTCCTAAGCTGCCGTCCCTGACTGGAGAGAAGAGAAATGCAGAGTGCTTATCAAAACCTGTAAACACACTCCGACAAAAAAGACCACACTCATCAGAGCCGGGCACAAAAACTGCATCATCAACAGTTTACAGACAAAAAACACAAGAGAAAGGAGATAACAACAAACGTAGACGGTTCATCCACATATATCTCTTTGTTTTGTTTTATTTTAAACAACTTTTATCCCAACTTCCAATACGATGATATTCTCCTTTAGGGCGCTCATTTTCAGGAAACGTCGACCGGTTTGGATAACTCAAGGATGCAAAGAGAACAAGTTCCTTTTTAAGTAACAAACAACTAACGCTTTAAATAAGAAGGGTTTAGACGTGAATATCCTGCAAAGTCTATAGTTGTTGTTTTTTTATTCCAGTTACTTCTGAAGTAGAGTAACACTGAGCTTGTTAACATATTCACGTCATCTAAGAGGGGGAAGACAAACACAGAGTGGCAAAGACGACAAAGACAGAAGGAGAAGATTTTGATTTGATTTTGCGCAAATGTGACTCTGCAAGCGTCTTCAGCCCACAATCTGCATGTTGAGTATGTGTCTGTGTATTCAACCGTTGCCATGACGTCTATAGGCTGTGGATAAATGGCTAGATAAGAGAGGTTTGTAAAGTTCAAACTCGCAAAGCTAACTTGAAGATCTACAAGGAAAGACACAACTTTTTGGCTTCAGGTGTATTTATCTATCTGTTTATTTATTTGTATCAAACCTGAGACATAACTTTGGTTAGACAACTTTCTTCAGCCGGTAAATCTGCTAAACATGAGATGACTCTGATAACGACACAGCCTAACGTCAAATCTCAATCTGTTCTGAATAATATCTGCAGGGATGAACACTCTGCTTCTCGCTCGGTCACTCTCTCTCTTTTCCTCTTCTGAGCTTCATCCGTCACCGTCCTCTTCCTCTTAGCCTCAGCTGTTGAAAGTTTTGTTGCCATTAAATCGACATTTAAGACGTCTACTTAAAGGTGGAAACGTTTCATATTGTCCCTTTAATTCTATCTTCTGCTGTAACAGGTGACTTCCTCCCAGTAGTTTATCAATAAAGCTTATCTTATTTATTATTTATTTATCTCATGTTATGTTGCACCGGCTGCTTTAACTATACTTTATATAAAACATGCATGCACTACAAGAAAGAATTATTACGAGCACTTCTGAATCACTCTCCTACTCCTCTCAAGAGCTCCCTGTTGGTCAAACATTAAAAAAAAATCTATTAATGTGTTTACATGGGCATTTAGACTGTTTGTCTTTTACATTACAGAATATATCCTCATGCCTTCCGGACAAACACAGATTAATTAGAGAGGAAAGCTTGCTTACAAGCTCCTGTGAAAGCTCAGGCTCCCCTGCTGATTGGTCGACTCTCTGTTCCAGCCCACTCACTGGATTTACTATAAATACATCACATTTTGTTTGATTCATAAAGAATCTGCCCAATTTCCTGCTCGCTTCCTCCTGTGTTTCCTGTTTTTATTTTTGTTTTTTTGCAACTCGACCATCTCTTATCCTTTCCTTCCCCTCCTTCCCCTCCTCCTCCTTTTGCCTCCTTTCTTCCTCTCCTCCTCCCGCCAACACCGAGCCTCATTAAAGGAGCATCCTGTCGAGCATCCGAGAGCGCAATCACGGGCCAATAATTGCCCACCTTTTCTGTCTGATTAGCATGACAACAACAGACTTCTCACCGGGTGAAAGTGCCGCTCCCCGCTGTCAAAACGTAGCCATGGTTCACATCAGCCGTGTCCTAATGACGACGCACAAATAATCTGAAGCCTCTTAATGAGAAGCTCAGATTTCAGCCTCTAAATGCAACGCAGCAGATACAGAGGAGGAACTGTTTAATCCCGCTTTCTAGATGGAGAAATTGAAGAATGAAGGCTAATAAAGAAAAGCTGACAGGCCCGGGTCCTATTAACCACGCAGCACTTTATCATCATGATTTAAACATCCTGCAGTCGAGTGGGTTTGACAGGGCAGCAACAACGGGGGCTCCTCCACCCTGACACCAACAGTTTGCTTGCTATTTGAGCGGGTAATGTGCCATGAATAATGTCTTGTCATGTTCTATATGATCAACCAGAAAAGTGTGCTTTGGACGTGAATTGTGCATTCAAGCCTAAAGGCTGGATCACGGCTCGACAGCCGGGCGCGGAGAGAAAAGTGTCATCAGATAGAAAAGGGATTTAAAAAAAGACTTGAGGGATTCATCTGAAGGGCTTCGCTATATTTGGTTTATTTGGTGTGTGTGTGTGTGTGTGTGTGTGAGTGTGTGGGCAGCGTGCAGCATGCAGCAATGTTAGAACAGTATGATTGTTCATTAGATTTTGTTTTTTATTTCATTTTGACTCTTATTTACATTTCCATGTTTTAGTTCACATTTGATTAGTTTAAGATGTTTTGATTCAGATTTTGAAATCAGCAGAGACGGGCGGTCTCAGCACACACACATGATGTTGTGATGATACCAGAGACGAGAAGATCAGCCTGCTAATAACCAAAATGGTGACTGGAGATATGCACTCATTATGTTTTGTGGAAGGAGAAGGCCTCAGCAAGCTGACAGTGTTTGTCGAGTACAAGTCACCGAGAAGCACAGCTCTGAGGGAAGTAATGGAGCGCTGATTTTCAACTGGTGGACAAAGTGTCTGTTACTACAAACTCCTGGACAGCTCTCACACACATCTCATACACTACTTTTCATTTTTTATATTCAGGTCTAATTACAGATTGTTTTCCTCAACTGTTTTTAGGTTCTTGTTTAAATCACATATATTTTTATCCCTGCACGGGTTTTGTACATTTCTTGTATAAGTCTATTTTTTAATTGCACAGTTTAAGTTTGATTCATCTAGAGGTATTCTTTAAATCTTTTTTTCAGGTTAATATATATGTATGTGAGGGGGGGGGGGTCGGTTTTGTGGTTTAATTTGTAACAAATGTTTTATGTCATGTCTTTGTAACCTGCTACTGGATGATTTGAATTTCCCTCTGGATCAATAAAATAGCTATCTCTCTATCATCACTTGTCATTTTATTTAAATTGAAGTTGTGTGTGTGTGTGTGTGTGTGTGTGTGTGTGTGTGTGTGTGTGTGTGTGTGTGTGTGTGTGTGTGTGTGTGTGTGTGTGTGTGTGTGCTCGTACCTCTGTTTTTGGCCATGCTGCGCTGCAGGATCTGCTCCACCCTCACCGCCATGTCAGACATGTTCTGCGCTATGGCCTGAATCCGTTCCACCAGGCCTACAGGCTGGATCCTGATCACACACACACACACACACACACACACACACACACACACACACACACACACAAGAAAACTGTCTTCAAATGTTCCAGCAAAAAGCATTGAAATTCCCCCCTAATTATCACAACAACAAAAAAAAGAGGATGCTGAATTTCTGTTACAGCTTCTTTAATTGAGCTAAAAAAAATGTTCACCCTTCACTGAGAGCGTCGAGTCCAGAAAGAAAGTCTAATTGTCGAGAACTTGAGGCGTGAAATCTATAAAAGCTTTAAAATACTGATGGATCATTTGAGATGAAAAAAAAAAGAAAAAAAAAAGAAAGCCGGCATATTAAAACCGGTCGCAGGAAGGGGAATACAAACAGAAGACAATTAGGTTGTTAACTAAATGTGTTTTTACTGCACTTGACCTCCGCGGCCTGGAGGCTGCTGGTGAAACAATCCTAATATTTAAATGAAGAGAGAGAGAGAGGGGATGAAAACACAGAGGGAGTAAAGACAAGAGGAGGGATTACACTTTATATTTGAGTGCAGCTAGTTGTGAAACAGAGCCAACAGCAAATCTAAAACTTGACAAAAGATTCATATTCTTACACACGAGTCAGAGTCTGTCATCATACCTGCAGCAGGACGATTAATCTTTCTTTCTCATGATGAACCTTCAGAAAAAGAAATACCATTTCTGTAACACCTCAGAGATGCACGGCAGTGATGTTAATGAATGTCTGCGATGAATAATAAAATATTCCAGAGAAGGACCTCTGACGTGACTCAGCCGAAGGAAAAAAAAAAAATTTCAACAGCAAGAAAATAAAAATTCAATTTGAATCTTTGGCACGAATGTGAACTTAGTTTAAGCCCCAGTTGTGTCACTGCTGGCTTCATGAATAATAGCACTGAGGCAGATTTGTATTATTGATTCGTCTGCAGAAAGTCGCACTCATAATTATTTTACTGTTTGGTCCATAAAATGTCAGCAAATAATGAAAAATATTCATCTATTCTGTTTATCGTCCTGGAGGAAGAAGAGAAGCAGAGAGAAGTGTCAAAAGAAAAGTAAAAAACAAAAACAATAAACTTTACCATTTCACTATTCTGCACACACATAGCTTGTAGATATTTCATGTTTTCAGTTCCTTGTGGCTCATCTTAAACCTGCAGAGATCAGAACGTTGAAAAGTAATTCTCAGCTCTGAGAGAGAAACATGCAGAACGACTGGAGAGAGAAAAATCGCTCTAAATGAAATCTTAACTTTTTTCCAAACAAGGTAACGACTTCACTTCCCTGGTGTGTTCTGTATATACGTGATGATCAGCCCGCAGTGATTGGCCGAGCAGCTGTATCAACTCCTCGTTTTACAAGCAAAACAAACAATCGAATGAATAATTTTAACGAGCTCCTCTCGTCATGCGGCGGTAACTCTGGGATTTACACGGCTCATTAAACGAGCTCCTGAAGATGTGAAATCACACAAACAAAAGGAAGAGATGCAGATGGAGCAGCAACTTTTTACTTTCCTTATTATCTAAGTAACTTTGAGGAACTTTTATTCAGAAACTCCTGATGACAAGTTTTGAGAGCAGTTAATGCAACAAGATGTAGGCCTGAAGGTCTCTGAGTGGAACTGCACTGACAAACATGGTGCTGTTAACTCCTCCCCCTCTTTAGACATCGTGCATTTGTTGACAAGAAGATGATGCAAAGCCAACGTTGAATGACAAGGTTCAGCAATAATAAGAGCACCACAGGAATGAGTCCTAAAACCCGGGAGTAAGTTAGCATTTGAGCGCCATGGGGTCTAACGTCTAAAAGTCAACGGGGATTTTGAATGTGTTTGTGGTTAGACTCCTGAAATAAGGTCTGTGGTTAACACAAGCTGAAGAGATGTTGGTGTTTTGTTAGAGCACATAAACTACGTTAGGTAATACCTCCACTTGTGAAGTTTGAAGTTTTTACTCGTCTTTAAAAAGGCGGTTGCTAACAAGCGGCTAAATGTGACTACAGTGGTTGTCGGGGACATTAAAGGTCATCACGCCGGACACAGAGGGCGGGAACTCTCTCACTAGTCGGAGATGTCTCCTGTAGGTTTAATCTTTAGGTTAAGGTGAATATTATGTTAGTAAACTATTTATTAAGCTACATGGATTAGTTTATCAGAGATCGTCTGAAGCATAACGCTAGTGACGTCACAATCATCTGACCGTGGTGTCGTTAGCTTTAGCATAACGTTAGCTTTTTACTTCTGTCGGCCGTATTAACGCTTCAAACATCATAAAAATGGCGTTCATCTGTGAAGATTATCCTGCTGAACAAAACGCCTACGCTTCAGAAACGTGTGTTTAACACAGAGATTATTTTCTGCAATGATCCAAAATCCAATGAAAAAATCCCAGAGGAGGATTCTTGTTAGACCCCATGGAGATGCTACTTCAGGGCTGGCCTACAAAAATACGTCATATGGTCATAAAAAAATACGTCATAAAAAAGACTCTGCAAAGACAACTTTTTGGCGTCGCCTGAGACATGACTTGTGTTGGACGACTTTCTGCAGCCGGTAAATCTGCTTCACACGAGACAACGATGACACCGATAACGACACAGCCAGTCTCAATCTGTTCGGAATAATATCAGCAGGGATGTATGCTCTGCTTCTCGCTCGCTCACTCTCTCTCTCTTTGTTCCTCTTAGCCTCAGCCGTTGTCTCAAACAGTACAGAGACGAGCTAACTAGCTAAAGAACTTTAGGCTGCCGTGTGAACTAGTGATGTAAAGTTGTACGCACTTCCTGTGAGATGACCTCAGTCACATCCTGCAGTAAACAGGTGATTTGGCCGTGCTGTGGACATGGAAGAGACGCCATTCTCCCCGTTGAAAGTTACTGTGCTTTAAATCAATCTTTTCCAACAACTACTTTAAAGGTCCCATATTCTTCTTTTTCTGGTTTTATCTGCTCTTTAGTGTGTTTTCAAAGTGTCCTGTGCATGTTTAGGCACATCTATGTGCAAAAATTCAAAGTCCGCGGAAACGCAGCTTCTCCTACGTCCTCCTGTTAGCTGTAGCATTAACTGCATGTAACGCTCGGTTCTAGCCCCCCTCGATAATAATTTGCCAGTGTGAGGTCTTGTCAGTGTGAGATCACCGATCTAAGCCCATTGGCTCGTTGTGGCCCAGCAGCTCATGTTGCACGCCCGTTAACTTCTGTAGCACGCCCACGATATGCTGTAGTCTGCGGTAGCACAGTAGTGTTAAGGTGCTAATGTTTATGCTCCCCTCGGACGGAGCCAATGGCTGCATTCCCAATGTGGTAAAAGGGGCGGGACATTTCCGAGAACCGTGCTGAGTGACTGACTAATTACGGCAGAGCCGACAGGCCGACCAATCAGATCAGACTTGGCACACATGGGGACTCTGAACGTGGGCACTTCAGAGCCTTAGAGAGAGAGTCAGAAGAGAGCCGGTGCACGGAGCGGCAGTTCATGAAAACAGACACTTTTTTATAACTTTATCTATTGTGAACATACTTTAGTAGGTACATAGATTAAATATATGAACCCCAAAAAGGGCAGAATATGAGCTCTTTAAAGTGGGAAAGTGACATATTGTTGCTTTAAAGAAAAAGAGGACGACCTTGTTGTTCATGACGGTTTGGAAGGTCGGTTAAAGGTTTCCCTGTTTGCATATCTCTCTGTAATCTCTGAGCTCATCTCTGACTCTCAGCCCTCCAAAAGGGTTTTTTTTTTTTTTAATCACCTGCCCACACACAGGTACGCAGAAAAGTCACAACTCATCGCCATGAGATTCACTTTGACCACCAAGTTAGTTTTAAAAAAAACTCTTTGGCCTTTGCCACAGTTACGCTCGGTTCGGTCCCTGAGGGGCCAATTAAGTGAGCCGCAGCTGAACGCCTGAGAGCATCTCCACGGGGCTTTGTGTGGAGAAAATGAAATTCTGTAAGTAATATCAAACTGAAAGATAAAAAAATCTTAAGGAGAGTTTTGGGCCGGAGAACAATAAACGTTTTCCAGCAGGTTATTAAAGCAGTGAGTCACACAGGGGGGACGTCTTGTTTTTTTTTTGTCTCATCAGAAATAAATCCACTTCCTGTCTTCTTAGAGGGAGTGAAAAATGAGGAACTTCTTTTATGTGCTAAAAGGCGAAACACTTATCGATGTTAACACATTTTTGTTGAACATTATCACAAAAAAACTCAAGACAAAATGTGTGAAGATAAAACAATTAACCCTGAAATAGGAAACATTTTAGCATTACTTCAGGATTAAACTTCAGACCTCCGCCTTGACTCAGCTAAAGAAAGAAAATCAGAGCTCAAAAAGCAGAAGATAAATCTGTTTGAAAGTAGGGTTAGCTTGCAATGTCAGATATAGTGTGTTATTAGTACACTGATGTAAAGTTCGCTTCATATTTGAAGTTTAGCGATGCATGTTAGGCAGATTATTTATTTATAAAAAAAAACTTAGTTTGCCATGTTGTCTCAATCAAACTTTTTTTGTGTAGCGCCAATTTAAGAAATCTTATCTCAAGACGCTTTACAAAAGAGCAGGTTAAGTAACATACTCATTGTTAGGAAAACTGGGATGCAGGAAGGATTTCTTCTTTGTGTTCCTCTCGTTCCTGTTGTCCACACTTCCTCGCCGCTGAGGTGGAGGTCGGACCTGGCACTACTAACACACGGCCGTGTGTTAGTAGTGCCAGATCACCTCGCTGAAGGTTGGGGGAGCTCCGCCTACTCGAGAACCTGGACTCTGCTACCAGAACTTCTTTACTTTTTACTGATTAATAGTTTTGTTTTGGTTGTTTAAACCTACAGTATTTTCAGAGTCTTAAGATGAATGGTCTGTGGGTCTGCAGCAGACTTCTTAATACATTTATTGAATCACCATGAAATATTGTGACAACATTCATGTTGGCATGAGGCCAGACACAAAGACCCTCCCTTTAGCACTGCTAGCAGAACATCTTCATAATGAATAATTCTTCTTTAAAAATGTAGCTCTTGTATGACGTTTGTTTTTATAAAATCGAGATAACAAGAATTTGAATTTGACCTTTTTTTTGGGGTCAATTAAGTATTTTTTTGTGTGGATCAAAGTGGAGTTGGTTATTTAAGTCAAATAAAGATCAATGAAGTGAGAAAAAAGGGCAATATATATAATACATAATTAAAATCTTAAATTAGGATCAGGCTGACAAAAGAGGAGGAACATTTTTCTGTAGATTAATTTAGAAGGACATGAAACGTCCAAATCTAAAAATATTGATGTTAATTTGAGCTCCTTTATGTCTGGAAGAAAAGACCACACGACAAAACGTACTTCAAGATGTTGCAGCTCGTCTGTTTAGTGGCCACACGTTGTAACATTGAATTGTTTAATGTTTCATAAGAGCCGTTTGAATAATTATTTCTGGCTCAGTTAACCAATGATTGTAAAGGAGATATTTCCGGGGATGAGAGAGGAAGAATAGATTTAATGTCAGGACGCGGGAGAGAGAGAAAAAAAAAAAACCAAGAACAAAAGCCGGAGACAAGAGAGAGCTTCCTCTCCTCAAACCCTGAGCAGGTGCAGGTATTAGAACTGGTCTGTCGCCATGGCAACCGCAGAGCACCCACAACTCGGGGCTGCAAGCTTCAACTTGTCCAGCAAGCCCCCTTGCTCTACCTTTTTTTTTTTTTTTTCAATTTATGAAAGTCTCTTTTATTTCTCCTGCTGCCCGAGGAGAGGGAGGGGGGGGTTTGTTCTAACACATATCATCTTCTTTGACACCGAGGCTTTTTAACAGCAGGGGTCTGCTCTGCTGGGATGCCCCAGGGCTCAACGCTTGGCCCACTTTCTCTTCTTCACACCCAGTCTTCTTCAGCCTCCATGTTTTCTACCAAACCATTGCTTTGTCAGTGAAATACAACTTTGGTATGCAAGCCAATCTGAAACATGTAAAAGAGCATTCTCCAGACCACCATTGCATTTCAAGCTGCTGCTCTTTCCTAGCATCTTTCTATCACTAATGATACTTTTTTCGTCAGATTTTGAATGTTTCAGCATCAGTCTACTCAGCAGAACTTTTCCAGAGCTAACAAGAAGCTCAGGAAAGGATTTTAACTCAGTGATCCTCTCCTGTTTTTTTTCAGATTTGACAGATATCAACGAATCAAAATCTGCATAACCTCTGCTGCAGCTTCTTCAATGAGGATACCTGATGCACAATTCTTAAAACGATAAACCATGACGTGCTATTTCCCTTGATGGCTTAGATTAGCACGGTCCTTTCTTCACCTGTCTACTGCAATCTCTGAATGTTTGTGCAGGAAAAACTAACCATACATGACAGCTGGTGGCCTTTCACATGAGCTGTATCTTTAAATAAATCACACCTGACAGGGGTTAGAAAAACACAGAATCTGTACCTGTCGAGGGCTGAGCTGAGCTCATCCAGCCTGTGTGTGTCTGTGGTGTTTCCCAGTTTGGACAGAGCATCCATCCTCTTCATAATGACCTCCAGCATGTCACTGATTTTCCTCAGCACGCCTCGGGACTCCGGGCCGCCAATAACTGAAAAAAAAAACCAATGTTACACCCATTGTAGACAGTCATGACTCACAGAGTTATTTTCAGAGGATATATTGGATTTCTGCATGCAAGTGTGAAAAATTGCATATAAAGCCTTTAAAGAAACATAACTGGGTTTAAAAAAGGTCAAAACAAAGAGCTCTTTGTTCTGAATCAAAACACAGAAATACATTTCTGAAAGGATTTACTGCTGCTGTAATTTCACTCTTGTAGCCACACTCAGGGTCATATATTAAAGTTGGTTTTTTTTCAAGTCGCAATTTACCCTCCGCTCACTTCAAAAGTCTGGTTTCTCTTTTATTTTGTCCTTCATGATTCAATCAGGAGCCTGGCTTTACAGCAAAACACATCAATGTGCAAATGAGTGTGACGGAACTGTTTTTTGTTTTTTCTTTGTGTGAGGTTCATGCTGTTAATGAACACCTAGTCCATTAATGAGCTGCAGGCTACAGACAACAAGGTCAACACGGGTTGAAAAAACTGCAACGCCAAGGGGAGGAGGTCCTGACCCCTGTGCTGTTGTCTTTGATTACATTAAGCTAACACCACAGAGAGAAGTTATTAACATGCAAAACGCTCAGAAAACAGGTTGACGTCGCTTAGAAAGAGGAATCATTCCACTCTTGACACTTAAGAGCAGCTTCGTGTTTTTTGATCCTCTGAGTTAAAATAAAGAGCAGACACCACCAGCAGCCTCGTAGTGCTCTCCTTTTCTCTGTAACTTGAGTGGAAAAATAAAGCCTCCCCGCTCGCCTTAACAATTGCATTAAGCTTTTAAAAAAAAAAGTGCAATGTGCTGCACACTCTCCCCTCCAGTCAGAGTTCATTCATCACCGCCCGACAGAGAAGTCACCTCTCTCTGCAGAGGGGAGAAATTGTGTTACAAATAAGGACCGAGTGAGAAGTCTCCGAAGTCTGTTAACGTTTGAAGAGAGGACGAGGAGCACAGAGCTTCATAAAATCAGATTAGTGAAACAGTTGCAGGGGGTCAGGATGAGAGTGGATGTATTAGAGAGAGAGCACAGATATCCCTTTGAATCTCTCTTCTGCTGCCTGCACAAATTTCCCTTCTTAGCTCAGTGTAGTGTCTTGACTTCTCCAGAATAACTTCAGTCATACTGGCCTGAAGAAGTCTCACTTTGAATAATTCAGAAGTTCACAACAATATTCCTCCTGCAGACGGAAAGACAGGAGAAATTAATTCTTAGACACGCAGCGGTGTATCTGTTCATCTTGCAAACAGAATAACAGAATGACACTGGACCGGACGGGAGAGGAGACGGCAGAGGTCACACTGCTGAGGGAAACACTGCGGGGTCATATTTGACTTTATTCTTATCATATTTTCATCTAAACTATTCAAGGGCTGCAGCCCACATCACAGCATCGCGTCAAATGCTGCATTCATGTGCTGCTCGGGTGGTCCAAATTTCCAAGTTGGGAAGTCGATCTTCCGACTTTATTGTCTTCCAAGTGATTTCAGTTTGGAAAGTCTGAATGTCGTCTCTCAACCGGAAGGTCGAGGCATGTCCGATGTGTCCTTGGAGCAGCTGTGGCTCAGTGGGTAGAGTAACCTCCAGGGTTCGATCTCCAGCTGTCCTTGGGTAAGATGCTTAACCCACTGCTTTGGCGGCGGCGGCGTATGAATGTGATTAGTTACTTCTGATGGTCACTTCACTCAGCAGCCTCTGACATCAGTGTGTGAATGTGTGGGTGTGGCCTGTGATGCAAAAGCACTTTGAGTAGTCAGAAGACTAGAAAAGAAATATACACGCTCAAGTCCATTAATCATTTAGCGGTCGTAAAATAGAAGTTTAAAGAATCATTTTTTAAGATTTATTTTTGGGGCTTTTTGTGCCTTTAATGGAGAGACAGGACAGTGGATGGAGTTGGAAATAAGGGAAAGAGAGAGAGTGAGGAATGACATGCAGGAAAGAAGCCACAGGCCGGATTCCAACCTGGGCCGCCCACTTTGAGGACTTTAGCCTCCATACATTGGACGTACGCTCTAACCACTGCGCCACTAGCGCCCTAGAGTCATTTGTATTGAACTCATCAAAATTGGAAGCAATTTGCTGTCAAAAAACCAAAAGGGGCTTTCCTACTTCAAATCTAAATCCTTTATGCTACATGCATTTATGTGTAGGGATGCATCTCTACTTTGTGCTGGAATGTTTGCTCTCTCTATCGGAGAAGAGCAAAGCTCGGGGGCTGAGGTGTGGGAGAAACTTACACTTCTTCACTCTCACACCGAGCTCGTTGATCACCATTACTACAGCCTCTCTTCCTACACAGAACATTTTTAGAGCTCAGCCTTATATACTGTGTGCAATCAACTCGTCATCAGGCGGCTCCTCACTCTTTGTTTCCCGCAGCCTCCTGGGAAACATTGGCTGGTGTGTTTGTTTATTCAGTCCGCTGTGCAGCAGACCCAGGTGGTAACTATGTGCTAACATACGTCCCCCCCCCCCCCATGTGTTGTCCCTCATCTGCTGGTTAATAAAAGGCGAAGATAGCAGCAGCTAATCTCCTTTAACGACTCGATTTCAAAAGTGCCAGAGCACAATCGATACAATGAACAAACTCCAATTAGATGGCCGTTTGTTTACTGTAGCCCGCCGTGTACACTGAGAGGGAAACACAGCTGCATACAAAGAGACTCATCAGCTTCACAACAGACACAGAGAGGGAGAACACACAATGTGACTTTTTACTCCTTCTGTGATCAGTGATTCAAATATCATCTATCGCACAAGACACCTCCGATCTGCAGACACCAACCGCCCCCAAACCTCCCGCCGACCTGAGCTCTGCTCTGAGGGGGACATTTTAATGTTTGTCTGCACAATATAAAGAACTAGAACTACTTTGTAAATACAGGTTTTATCAGGATTGGTCGGTTTAGGGTTCAAAATTTTAGAATGGCAATTAAAATAAAAATTCAAACATGCTTTAAAGATATAATATGTAGATTCAGCCACCAGGGGGCTCTCAATCAATACTGCAATAACGAAAAGATGACGACGAGGCTAGCGGGGAATCATGAGTGATTCTCTCTGTTACTCCCCCACCCCTCACCCCCCCACCTGAGGAAGAGAATATGTTTACCAACGATGCATCCAAGTTTAATCTACAAGACGTTTTTTCAGTAGCTTCCTTATGAAGCATTTTTTGACGTAACATCCGGTGTTTCCACGGCAACGATAAACATTCCGTCGGTCATGGCGGCTCATCACGGTGGCCGCCTCGACAAGACACGACCGGCTACAACCAAGAAATGACAGATTTCTCTGTCTTTGAAAACTGTTGGAAATATTTGAGGTAATGTACTCAACAACAAGAAATCTATATAAATCTATATTTAGATATTTGAATATAAACATTGTCATGCAATTCCACAAATTGTACGTTTAAATTAGGACGTTAAAGCCGTCTCTACAAGAAAAACACACATAAACACAGAGCAGAGCACAACAAATATGTAAAAAATAAACAACACTGCTGCAGCAGGAACAACCAGTGGAACGAGTGTTTCTACATTTAGTAAGTTATTCATCATCAAAACAATTGATTTCAACAGTGTGCCGTGATTTATTTATGTTAAAAAGAAATCCGTTTTCCTCCCCACCGGCACAATCGAGCGGCTAATAAATAAATCCTGTCATCTCTGATACGCTCGCTGGCTCGGCTAGTTTTCCCAGCGAGGGGGGGGGGGGCTCAGGGTCAGACCTCTCCATCTTCACCTGACAGCTGGAGAAATACATGCAATCCTTTCTGCTCCACACACACACACACACACACACACACACACACACACACACACACACACACACACACACACACACACACACACACACACACACACACACACACACACACACACACACACACACACACACACACACACACACACACACACACACACACACACACACACACACACACACACACACACACACACACACACACACACACACACACACACACACACACACACACACACACACACACACACACACACACACACACACCCCTCCACCCTGCATGCCCCTTTCACTCTTAACTCAAGCATTCATTAAAAAAGCGGCTGATTGAAATAGAGTTTCTCTCTTCTTCTTTGGCACCTATGTGGGGGGAGCTGACGGATCCAAGAGCTTTTAGGAGCTGAAAACGTCTGTCACCTCTTCTCCCTGTGCAGCCGCAGCCTCTTATTGGTCCTGACAGAGAGGGAAAGGAAAACTACCTGCTCTACCCTACCTTCTCTGCTGGCTCTCTGTTGCTTTAATTTACACCTTAGTCGATCTTTTCCATTTGTAATCCGGCCTGATTCTCGATGCAGAGTGCAGACGATAAACAAACACATTCAGAGAAAAGGCAGGGAGGCGTTTCCTTCATTCCGCCCCGGCTGTGTTGCTGCATTGTTTATTGATTTAATACAGCTTTATATAGGTGGATACATTTCTCAGTAAAAGCAGCAGAGCATCCTCATAAAGGTGAGTATAAAGTCAGACTCTAACACAGCGACTGCCTGGCAAACACACCAGTGTACCCGCCGCATTCAACCCTTTATTTCCAGGACCGGGGAGTTTTGTAGTTTTATTCTCTTTTATGTTCTCGCTCTAACCTTGTGCAGAGCCATGAAAATATGATGAGCATTTGCATAAACACATTTCCTGTTTTCACACAGAAAACGCTTGCATGAATGCAAAAAAGAAACAACAAGAATAGAAAATGCAACCTAAAGCACGTCTGAAAAGTGAACTTCCTGACCCAGTTTTACAACTCACCCTACAAAGCTGGAAATGCCTGAGAAACAATACATACAGTCTAAAAATATAGGCTGAAATCTGACTACCAGATTCACTTCAAGCTGCTGAGTTTCAGTGATAGAGCACAACGTGTTGTTTGATCTTGTTTGTGCATTAGTTATTTGTGTTTCTGTGTTAAGTGCGTGTGTGAAGACTCTCTGTGAAGACACACAA